CAGCCATAGCTAACTCAGATTCCAAAAGGTAGAAGAAGAACCTTCAACTCCCTAAGTACTTTTTATGTACTAAGAGGCAAGAGATGGGTGGTTTTACACAGCATGATTCTATATTGTGAGTTAATTTCTCTGCCATTAAAAACTGCCCTCAGTCCACCCTACAAGTTGTGTTGGAGCATAGCAGATTTTTTCCCCCTTAGGCAAGGAGAGCTGGAAGAGCAGGAGTAGAATGACAACTTTCAGCAAGAAAGGGAAAATCTCAGACCTCAGCTGCTCTATGGGCACAAGCGTCCTTCAGCTGTAATTTCTAAAAATCGAAGATGAATGTCTGTAACTCGCTCTCTGGGGAGCATTCTTGGCTCCTGCATCCAAGCTTTCTCATTGTGCACTGGCGGCCTGGCACCCTGAGCTCTGTTCTAACTAGACTGTGGCCAGGATTTTCACCCTGTGGTTTATGTGAATTTTTAACCTCTGCAGTTATTGCCTCAAGTGACTCTTGGAGGCCTGCTTGGGCCATCCAAGGTGAGACCCAAGGTACCAATGATTGTTTTTTTGTTGTTGGTGGTGGTGTTTTTTTTTTTTTTTTTTTTTTTTTTGGTGCTCTGGTTACAAGATTGAATACCTTTTGTGTGGTCTGCCTGACTTTGCCCTTTAAGCCCAATGGTTTTTAGTGGGTGTTTTTGCAAAAGTACATGATTCTTTAAAGTAGTATAAATTTCACATTACTGTAGAAAACCCTAAACAATTTCTTCTCCTCTGAATCAAACAAGGCTCGTTGGAGAGGATCCGATTTCACCCTTGGGGTCATATTTTAGATTGACTTAGGACATTTATTGCCTGACTGGAGAAAGACCAGCTGAAAGGGGCAATCTTTTGGGATCAGTTGTGATAACCTTGAGCATTAGAAAATGAAACAAAAATTGTGATTAAGATATTAATTTAAATGTTTGGTGTTATGAAATAAGTTAATGTTATCCAAATAATGATAGTAATGAAAATATTCTTTTCAAATAGTAACTGTTAGATTTGGTTGTATTTGGTTGTATTTTTTTTTAATGAATGTCATTTATATTTAATGATAGGAAGAGCTTCTGGACTACAGATACACGCATATTTATAGGCAGATAAAATACATGTCAGCTAATGACTGAGAATGTTTCATGTCCTGGTAGCGTGGAACGTCCTTGTCTATATGACAAGGGAAGAATCCCCGTTACTTACTAAATTATTAATAGAGGCCCCAAGCATTTCAAATTCAGTAACATTTTCATTGCCTGCATTTTCTAGAATTTTCAGGCAATAGCAAGACATGAAAGTGTCAGTTTGAAAAAATATACTAAGGTTGGTGCAATTTTATAGTTCTGTATATATTCTCATGAATACAGAATTCTCAAGCATCAGAAAGATGGTACTCTTTGCCTTGATTGGTGTACCAGTTCATGTAACCTCTTCCAATATGTCTGTGGCCTGCCACTTATTTGATGACATGTTAATCTCGTGTGAAGAACTAATAGCATGCATCAAAACTTCTTTCTCAAGACGTAAAAGTGCTTCTCTCATCTTGGGTCTGAAAGTGCTTGGGTAGAGTGGATTTTTGTCTTTTAAATAGGCTAGAAATGTGAGTACACCCTCTTTGCATGCATTTACTGTTTAGTGGCTTTGACAATTATTTATAATTATTCTTGGTTTCTCCCCTGATTTCCCCCTCACACAGCACTGTCACTGAAAAGACCTTATTAAAGGCTTCCTGGGAGAGAGACAGAGCCCCAGATCTCACACCCTGGATCATTCTAGAGGACTTGGGGTAGGGCTGGGGAGGGGCAGTGTGTGGATCTGAAAATCCAAAATGTTTTTGAACCTAAAGAGATCTTAAGATATAACATTCAAAAGGTAGTGCATAGTTGGCACTTATTTCTCTTCTGGGTGTATATAGTCTTGTATTTTGAGCTTGCATCCATTAGCCCAGGTATTTAATGGTTTTAGAAATACATCAAGGTAAATTATATAAGACTTTAAAAAAGAGGTTTCTTTGGCTACTATATGCAGATGTAGTATTGCTAGACTGGTTTAAAACACGTATTCGAGTTACCCTGCTAAAGAAAGTAAAAAAGATTGTCTTAATGAAAAATAAAACATGTCTCAGAGGTCATAATAACTAGAGACATACTGAAATGAACGGAATTAAGACAAGAACAAAAGTGGGACAAAGAAACTCTATAGAATTTAAGTGGCTTAAATATTTTTAAAATATTTATTTATTTCAAAGTCAGATATGCAGGGAGGTGGAGAGACAGAGTGGAAGATTTCTGTCCGATGATTCACTCCCCAAGTGGCCACAATGGTCAGTGCTGAGCCAATCTGAAGGCAGGAGCCTCTTTCAGGTTTCCCATGTGGGAGCAGGGTCCCAAGGTTTTGGGCCCGTTCTCCACTGCTTTCCCTGCCACAAGCAGGGAGCTGGATGGGAAACGGCTGGGATTAGAACCGGCACCCGTATGGGATCCTGGCGCATTCAAGGTGAGGACTTTAGCTGGTAGGCTACTGCACCGGATCCCCGGTAGTTTAACTTTGAAGGCAGTATGGGAACAAACCTCGAGGTGAGTTATCCTGAAAGTCAGGAAGCATCAATTCTTAAATCTCACTCACATGAGCAATCTCAGCAAAGTTTACAACAGGCATATTGTGCAGGGTTTTAAAAATTCATTTTTACAAGAATCCAAGGGCTTACTGAGAAACAGAGCTGCTTAACAGCAACACCTCTGATGTTTATGCTGTGCTACCAGAAGCTTTCTTTAGAAGTCTGGTCCAAAAGGAAAATATTAAAACTTGTATAAATGCGTTTTCCTTGTACTGGTCAAAAAGAAAGTAAATTTTCTTTTTATGAAATAACTGCTAAGTGTAAGGTGACTTTCCCAGTCTGGATTCCATGTGGGGACTAAATTTCACTTAGGAGTTGGGAGTTTGCCAGTGTAAGAGCCTAGTAGGTCTCAATCAAGCCATGTGAACCTTCTGCTTTCACAAACACAGAGCACAGTGGAGACCCAGCGGGAGGAGGAGAAGTGGCTGTCTCTGCAGGTGTGGAATGCTTGGTCAAGAAAGACTTTCAGAAGAGATAACCTGCAAATTTAGTCTTGAAAGGAGAGTAGATAATTCCAGGTCGATAAGCTAGGGCTTAACTGAAAGGTCAAATGTGCAGTCTGGAAATCCAGGCACAAAGCAGATAGAAATATGTGCCAAGGCCAAGTGGAATGGCATACTCCAATGTGTTTCTAACTGCAAGCAGTGTGGTACCACTGGTTTACACTCTGCCAGTCAGGAATAGAGCAGTGTCCAGTAAATTACAAGTTGGATGATGAGCAGAGCCAGTTCATAGATGTCATTGGTTGCTATGCTGAAGAGTTTGCTCAGGCATTGATTTATTCAGTAAATGCATGTATTAGAAACTGGAAAAATTCCAGACCTTGAAGAGACAGCTGTACGTGTTTATTCTCATGGAGTTTATTGTATAGAATGGGAAAACAAGACATTAGCCGATAATCATACAAATCGTTTTATGTAATTTTATCTGTGATAAGCTAACTTATGTTCAGAGCAATGCTAAATAATCATACAGTTGATAATAGGGAACTTTAACTTTAGTCTGGGGTTCCAGAAGTTTTTGCTGAGGGAGCAACAGAAAAATTCAGATCTAAGTATGAGCAAGCCAGCTAAAGGGGCTTGTTTAGGTGGGAATTGGAAAGAGCATCTTGGGCATAAGCAACAGAGGCAATGGCCTGGATACAGGTTTCATGTGCAGCTTTAGAAAGGCCTTGTCTTCCTCATAGGAAGCTCCTCCAAGCAATGGTCAGTGACTCCACTCCATTCTGTCTCGGTGCAATGGCAGGCTTTAGCTCTCCATTCTTTAACCTGAGCCAGTAGAGGTCACCAGTAACCTCCAATTGCCACTCACTGTGGAATCAGGAGTCTTCATCAGTGGAAACCTCTACAGTGTTTGGCATTGTTTAGCTACTCCTTATCTTTAGACATCATACTTGCATGAAGTTTTTACCCTCTCTGTAACATTAACATAAGACTGGGGGGTTTAATGCCTGCGCCATTTGGGGAGACAACTCTAATTCAAACTCTAACACTGGTCTTTTAGAAGGCAAACAGAAAAAAACTGGCAGGAAGAGAAAAAGGAAAATGTCAGAGGAGTATAAAGACAAACAGAGGAACCCAGCTTCTAAGAGCTCAGCTTGGAGTGTCACATCAAGGAACAGTTAGTCAGGGATAACAGCAGAATACCTTTCTCTTGCACAGAAAAGACTTCTAAAAGTTTTAAATTTACATTTCTTTTTAGGAAATGGTTCCTCTTTTAAGATCATGTTCTAAAAAATATTTAGAATTTCCTTGAACCCTTTCACTTTCACTTTTGCAGTTCAGCTTCCAGAACACCGTGCCAGTCTTTGTGCAGAATTCATTCAAATCTGTTCAGCATTTTTACACAAGTACTTCATGTTACCAAAAATGTCCCTGGAGTTCCTCTGATAGCAAGGTGAGATCCTTGTTTTGGTTGCAGTAGAGCTTTTCCTGACAGAGAGAACCACTCCCACCAGGCTGCTATGGGTCTGCATCTCAGTATGCAACTTAAAATCATCTTCTAAACACACCAGATCCTATGAATATTCATCACAGTCTCCATCACTGCGCTGTTCTTGTGTTCTTAATGAATGGTTTGATGTGCAAGTTCTTGCAAAATAAAAATAAAGCTTTGCTATTAGAATTGTCTTCACCATATTTTCCTCATTTTATTACTGAGACACTGAGAAACAGATTTATCCCCATTGGATTTTAACAACTGTGCTTGGCTTTTAGTCTTCCTGGGATCATAATCTTCAAGTGGATGTACAGACCTCACATTTGTCTCAGCTTTCATCTGGCTGGAATCCATGTCATCTCCTTGAGGATTTTGTTGTTAAAGTCTTAAGTGGTGACCTGGAAAGGAGTATCTTTTTGAGCTGTGTCTACTCCCTGAAAGAAAGTTTCATATTCTCCTTTTTGTCTATTTCATGGTAGTCACCCTGCTCAGGATCTGAGGGAACTCCAGCATTTGAAAATATGAGGTCTTTAAGTGAGTAATGCCACTCTACTGCCTCAGGCTGAGGAGCTATGTCATAACCATAATGGACTGTACTTGAAACCTCACCACTCACAGGACTGCCACCCAGCGAGCTGGGCAACGCTAGTGGATTTTCAAATCTATGGGTATCAGAGACACTTTCCAGATGAATGTTACCCAAACCAGAGTCTGGACAGGAAATCGGAAGTTTTTCGAAATGATCTTTGTGATTCTCATAGTTCCTCAGAAACTTTTGGGAGGTGGTGGCATCCTCAAGACTTCCTTCTGATGTAATATTTTCCCTGCTAACTCCTGAGCTCTTGTCCTGCAGGGGCCCACTGACCCCACAGCATTCCTCCCCAGGGGTTTCCTCTTCAGCCACATCTCTTGCGCCTTCTGAGCTTGTTGAACTGAGAGTGAACAAAGACCCTTCATCAGAGTCGTAGTCACTTTCTAACTTGTACTGAGGGTCAAAATGAGCATATTTCTGCAATGGCTCCTCATTGGCAGGAGTGACACCCTCGCCACAGCCCCATCTTGGAGGAAAGTCGGGAGGGTCTGTGCCTTCTGGGTCACTGTGGGTGACCCCACTGTAATAGAGTGAAAGATCTGCTTTGGCACCAGCCTCTGCAACCGGGATCTGCTGTGTGCTCAGCCAGTTCCTGTCAGAGCTCAGTTGCGTTTCCTTAGAGAATTCCACTGGAAAGCCTGGGATTCCTGAAGGTAACTGTTCAGTACTTCCCCTCTCGTGATTCTCCGCAGTCCTCTGGGCATTGGTGTGTGTGAGCATTTGAGAGGCAGTAACTGGCTTTTCTTTTGAGAGTGGTTGGCCTGATCCATTCACATCGTGAGTGGAGCTGGACAGCATTTGTGGCGTGCCAGCTACTGAAGCATTGCCCACCGAGCGCCCCGTGGGCAGACACTCCTGGGCCACACTTTCATGGTTGAAATCCCCAGGAAAATCATTCGCGTAGACGGGCTGTGGTGCTCCTGAGGTGACTTGCTGATTGACGTCCCGGGAGACACTGCCAGTCAGAAGCACCCTGTCATATGTATTTCCGGCCCCGGTGTTGCTATCCCCATGTGGTTCTGAGCTCCGCCAGTTGCTCCTCCCCAGGGTTCTGTCAGGAAGGACGGTGAGGTATGTGTTTGGCTGTGTCTCCAAGAAATCTTCCTGGTTCTCATAGAGGTTTGGATTGTGAACCGATTGCTGCTGCTCCGTCCTGGAGTGCTGCTCTATGTCCCTGGCAGCCACTGCGTCATCATAGAAACCCTCATTCGTGTAGGTACTGGCTGGGCCAGGGCTCCTGTTCCGGCATGCGTGTAGCCACAGTTTGTCAACATAGGGCCTCGTGAGGGCCCCCAGACAGAAAGCCACGACAAACGTGATGAACACCGACAGGCACACGGCCAGGACCAGGTCCTGGTGCTCCTCGTTCTCCTCCTGTCTGTCAGAGGCCTGCACGTCCCGGGCAGCCCTAACCCTTCTGGGCGGCCATTTCCGCTCCTCGCTGACGCCAGAGCTCTGGTGCGCATGCCTGCCGGGAGTGGGACGAGGCATGCCGGTTCGTCGCTGCTCCGCTTGGCGCCCTTGTTGGTGTTCCACGTGATGGAGTTCCGTGGGAGGAAGGAGCAGCGCCGTGGAAGTCCGGCCTTGAGGCGTCTCCTCAGGTGCCTCCTCAGTTCCTGCAAGTGTGGGAGGAAAAACACACAGGTGAGCAGACCCTGAGTTTCCAAAGTGTGTATGGGGAACCTTGTAAAGTCCATGGGCTTTCGTTCCCTTGTTCTTTCGCGTCCACTGCCAACGCTGTGTACGTAAAGGTTGGGCTCTGTGTGTGCCTGGCTGCCACGTGTGGCTTTTATGAGGGAGCGAAACACGTGTGTCTGCCAGCATGCAGACCTCACTTTCCATGGATTTTTTTCTGGCCCTGAAAAAGCAAAGCCAAGTTTTCTACTTTTGGGTAGTCCTGAATGGAGCAGAGGATAACACTCATTTGTAAAAAGAGGTTTTTGTTGTCTTTTTTCCCAATTAGGAGTTTGGAATTTAACCAAGATATCTAATAGTGAAAACCAGACAAAAAGTGGAAAACCTTCTAAGAACGTCCAACATCAATAACAGTTTCTAGAACTCTGGGAGAGGGGTGAGAAACAAATCAAAGGAGAATAACACTTTTGAAATGAGTAGGTTTGCTTTGCATGTAGGTGGGATCACATTTCCAGAGGGTGAACAGTCATTTAAAGTAATGATGTTTCCATTTTTAAAGGTAATTTGTTTCATCACTTGCTGGTTAAGGATAGGAATAAAATGCTGCCATGTTGGGCCATCAGGGTAAAATTGCCTCTTAGCAAAATTTCTTTTCTGAACTTAATCCAGTTGTTTTTTTAGTAACTTGGTGACCTAAGGAAAACAGCAAGATACCAATGACTGTGGAATTACCTAGTGTCACAGGGGCTGACACAAGGGCCCAGCACGCCTGCTTTAAGTGGGACTACCGGTGTTTCAAATGTGGCATGTGTTTGTGGATGCTTGTCTTACAGTTCAAATGAAAGGACTCAGAAAGAGGAGGTGCCACTGATTTACCTGTAGATTTGTTGCAGATCACACCCCACTTTGCCCTCCAGGATTCGGAGAGGGAATTTTGGAAGAGGGTCACACTCTGATCACACTGCCACAGGTTATTAGCCAAGTCAGCATTCAGCTGGGGGAGTTCCAGAGCCATGACCATCATGGGAAGGATAGCGGTCAGAGCGTTGTTGCTGAGGTCTAAGACCTGTTAAGGAAGAAACAGATTGAGGAGTCTCTGAGAATAAAGACATTTAGAGGCAAGATAAATGAGTTACAGAAAGCTATTGTTTACATTTCTATGGAGGCATTATATAAGGGTGATTTTAAAAGTTGAAGGAAAAAAAATTAAGATGTATTTATTTTGGTGCAAAATAATTTTGAAATCCATGCATTGTTTTGTTGGAATACACTCATTTCCCATGAACTTTTGGACTACTCTGTTGCAATTTTAGCATTGGTCTGAGAGTCAGAATGCTGGATTTAAGTTGCTGCCTTTCCCCCAGATACCCTGAGTCTTGGTAAATTGTTTATCTTTATGAGAGTCTAAGGGCTGTTAAAAGGATACATTATATGTGCAAGTTTTAAAGTATGGTTCCTATATTAGGTGTTCTGTCATTTTCCCTTACTTGTTTCTATGAGTCATAATTTGTACAGCTGAATAAAACCTACACTTTGGTGTGATCAAGACCAAGAATGGGCTAACAGGTCTAGAATTTCTGGAAACTCTGTGACCTTGAGCGTGTGCAAGAAATAGGATGTTGAAACACAGAACACAGAAGAATTGTGGTTGCCCAAAAGTAGCAAAGTGGTTTTTTTTTTTCTTTTTGCATGCAATATTCTGTCAAAGGTTGTCATGTATTTGTTTGCATCCACAACTATTCAGTATATACAGGATGATGATTGCTTCCTCTAATCTAACAAGAAACAAAAGGGAAAGGCAGGGAACAGAAGGGCTTCATGGTTCTGGAGATGCAGAGCAGGGACTGCTGGCGTTGGACGTAGCAGTAACAGGTGGCTGTTGGGAAGTATGGCTGCTTTTTCTCTGGGTGCCACTGTTGGATATCAGGAACTCTCCTGGCAGCTTGAGTATGTTTTTGCTAACCCTCCCAACAACTTCATTTTCCTTCTTTTCACAGATGAGGAAACTTGGCTAAAGCCGTATTAGTATAGCCTACATTAGACTCTAGCATGGGGGCCTGGTACACAACAGGTTCTTAATATATGTTGGACAGGAATGTTAGAATTAGATCTGATCTGGTTCTCAGCTGTGTGTCTCCACTGCACTAGAGTAAAGGAAGCATCAGTGGAAGAAATCTGGAATGTGTGGCACCAGAGTGGGGGGCATGGAGTTTGCAGAGTTGTGTAAGTGGAGTTTTTAGGAGGAGAACAATCACAAAAGAGAAAGTGCAATCCTTCCTTTAAAACAAAAATAGGACTATGGATGGAAACCAGAAAGGCTGAATGTTATCAAGGCCAGTTGGCTTAAAAAAAAAAAAAAGAAAGAAAAATCAGCATTTACATCTTGGGTTATATAAAGTTGCAAGAGATGACACTGTGACTTTAGAAGCACAGCTTTTTGTTGAGTTCAGGAAGTGAGGGTGATCTTTCCGGTATTGAGTAGCCAACAATCCTCACTCTTGAAGGAATGAAGCAAAAAATAGAAAGTAGGAGAGTTTGGATAGGGAAGAACAAACACTGTGCTTGGGCCTTGTCTTGCCCAAGAGAAGTGGCTTCCTTGGGAACCTCAGAGCTGTAGCTACAAATTGAAATATTCTGATGATTTTCTGGTAGTTATTTTGTTTTTAGTGCATAGTGACTTTTTTTTCAACCCAACATCTTATTATGTTACAAATTATGGAGCTGAAAACAAAACCGGAGGAAAGATAGATTAATGAAATGATTCAGGAGGAATAATTTCCGAGAAAGGATGAAATTCCTTAGTCCAATTTGGCTAAAGGAGTACCCAGCTACTAGCATTTGAAAGGGTGTTTGTCACGGAAAGACTGGAAGAACCATGTAATACTGCTCCACAAATTACTGTATCTAGGAAGAGTGGGGCAATTAGGAAAAGAAATGCTAATTTGGAATGTCGGTGAAACTTATTTTATTCCACTTAAGCTCAGTAATGAATTTATGCTTTGAAAAAGCTTTCCAGCTTTAAAAAGATTCCCACATGGGAAGGAACATAGAATAGTACAAATATTAAATTCATCTCCTAGAAGAAAAACAACATCCATTTTGATATTTGGCTTTCTGATACCAAATATGTTCATTATATTCCAAGACTAGTTCTTAGAATTCTTGCCAGCCATGTAGAGTAGATCATAAAGAAAGAGAAATTGCATGATTCTGGGCACTTGCAGTGACTTGAAATTTATAGCTGTTTTTAAAACACTCTCAGAGCTGATTTTTGGTTTTGCTTCTTGCATCTATTCCCTGGAAACTACAGAAGTCTCATATGGTGTGATAAAAGAGCAAATAAAATTTTAAAAAACATAGGGCAAGTGACATATATAAATATAGTCAGAATGTGGTATCCCAAATGGGATTTCAGACAAATTCCAACCTACTTATGGTGAACCAAGGAGTACTTCCATCTGCTGTGATCACTGCTGTGGCAGGCAGTAACTCAAGCATCCAGTTACCTCCCTGGGAGTACACATGTCATGGAACACTCTCTTCCCCTTGGGTGTGGACAAGACCAGAGATTAGCCTCCTGCCAACAGACTCCTGCAAAAGCAATGTGATGTCTCTTTGATGATGCATTGCACGAAAATGGCAATGATCCTGCCATGCTCTGTCCCTGGTTGGCCCTGGAGCAATCTACCATATTGGAAAAGCCCACAGGGCACAAAAGCGAGGACCTTATTGGTCTAGCAGCCAGATAGGGAACCGAATCCTGCATTTAACTGAGAAGGCTGGGAGGGGAGTCCTTTGCCAGCTTGGCAGACAAGACACCAGCCTTGCTAACACTCTGACTGCGGCCTCTTTAGAGGCCCTGAAGCAAAGGCTCCAGCTAAGCCAGGTCTGGATTCTTGACTGATAGAAATTGCAGCATACTTTATGTATGTGTGGTTTTAAGTAATTGGATTTATAGTAAGTTGTTCAACAGCAGTAGATAAATAAACCCCTATCCATGCTCGTCATTTGTTCATTCATCCCTTTGTTTATGTGACAAGTATTTTACACATGTATTAGATGCTGGGTGCATGCTCCAGCACTGGAAAGTGAAACAAAGTTGCTAGGAGCCCTCACAGAGCTTGCTGTTTAGTTGAAAGGGCTCAGGAAGCAGAGGAGCCAATGGCCATGACTGAAGATGAAATGCTGTGAGTTAGGGATGTTGAGGCAACAGGTAGAGCATGTGCTAAGTGTGTCGAAGTGGGACTTGATTCATTCTGAAGCCCAGGGAAGGCCTCCTTGAGGAGGTGATATTTAAACAAAAGCTGGAGGGATTAGATGGTGCTAGGCCAAGGGTCAACATGAGGAGGGTTTGTGGTGACAAGAACAGCAGGAAAGAAGGGAGCAGAGGGAGAGTGGCTCCAAGTGAGGCTGACAGGCAACGGGAACCAAGCCCCTGACTGTGAACTCCTGGAAGAGTTTCAGCTGAGGAATGGCATCATCAGATTGTGTATGTTAGGAAAAGCAGACTCACTGTGAACACGTTAGAGTTTCTATATGCAGTGAACTCTGACAAAGATCCTACAAAATTCCATGTACTGCCCTGGGCACTGGACATCTGTTGAAGCACTTCTCATCAAACTCTAGGAGATGACACTACCAAGGCACAGAGAGACTTGGTAACTCGCTCAGGGTCATGAGAGTGGCAGATGGCAGCACTCAGGTTGAACCCGAGGCAATGGAGGTGCCATAACTCACCCCTGCTTCCCTGCCCTCCCCACTTGTCCAGAGAAGGGGTTCAGGGAGCCATCAGAATACATAGGGCAGGAGGTGGGCCTTTGTCTTGCAGTTAACTTGGCCAGCACTGCACACAGCATGGGCGGTAGCCTGGGTATTGCAGTGCTATTAGCCACATGAAATTGCTGAGCAATTAGACCATGGGTGTGCCACAGTGGATTGTGCAGGGTCAGTGTAAATCAGGTATCAGGTGTTGAGGACTCAGTGTGAAATGTAAACACTTCATTAATTTTTATACTGATTCTGTGTGTAACAAGTGATCTTTGAGTGTGTTAGGTTAAATAATATGTTGCCAAAATGAAATTTACCTGCTTATTTTTACTTTTTAAACCTAACTATTAATATACAATTACATGTGTGGCTCATATTTTATTTCCATTGAAGATGCTGGCTGAAAACAAAATTGGAGGGTGTGTGATGGGGGAGTTAATGGAGGTAGGGACTAAAGACTGTCCCAAAACACTTTTTGGTGCCACACTGTAGGCCAAAGGAGGTTGCGGGGGGGGGGGGTCTTACAAGATCCTGTTGAAGGGGATGGGGTATGCGGGACAGTGCTTGGAAAACAGGGGCTGAAGCAGCCAGACCCAGGGCAGGGCCTTGGGGTTCCTTTCCTTCCCAGGAGCCAGGATTTAAAGGGAGATGTACAGCAACAATATGCTGAGCACCAGGCCCTCTGGCTCCAAAATGTGACATGATGTCCTCCCAATTTGCCTCTGGAGTTTAGAACTGTATGTGGCATGTGGTAAGCTCTATGAGCATGAGCTGTTATCATTGTAATTTCTGTTATCCCATGCCAACCTCTGACACAGAAGCCACAGGGCACTCACTGGCCTTTCAAGTCCCACTGCATCTTGTGTAGGAGTGCCTTACCATGGGCCCAGGGGTGTACCAGTTTGCCTAAAAGCCCTGAGACCTCTGGTCTTACACTTTAAGGAGGTGGCCTTACAACTCAGATTTAATTTCTTGCCAAGTGGTAAGTGAAAACTTGGAATGTGATTTAATTTGATTTAGAAAAAAATAATGTTGCCAGTTCTTGCTACTGAGTAGTATTTTTTTAGTTCAATTCATGTCCATTACTGTGGCCTTTTAAGTTTTAGGCAAGGAAAGATACTTAAATTCTTTGTGAGATCTTAAAATACACTTAGTTTTTTTTTTTTAATTAATAGCTAATACAGCTGGACACAAAGGAACTCTGCAATGGTTATATTTTCCTCATGTCACTGATACTATGTTTGATACTTGAAATATTACATAAATAGTTTTAGAACCTGTAGGTTTTTTACGTCCTTGAAGGCATCAGGATGTATTTTGAATATCTTGTTGCTCTTTAAATAGAGGTTCTTCAATTGCAGGCAGTTGTGGAAATCAGAAAACCCAATTTGCAATATCCTGTTGAATGAAAGATCCAGACTCTGCAGTGACTTCAATTTCCATAATCCTGTTGAAAGTAGAAAGTAAAATACATTATAAACTGGTGCTATTACTACAGCATTGACTGTAATGGTTAAAAAGAGACAACATTAATGGTTCTGCATTGGGAAAAGTGTTAAAGCATGGTTTATTAAAGCTGTGCCAATACCAGGTGGTCTTAGTGCAGATCAACAGGCAGACTGGACTGAGCAGGAAGGAGAAAGCTGCAGAACACTGTGGAGCTTAATTCCAGTGGTCTGTGGAAAAAGCGCATATGCCAACATACACCAACGTTCTGAGTGAGCAGAAGAAAGATTAAGAAGGAGATGGCAAACTGTTGGAAACAGTTACACTTTGGAGTAGGCTGGTCAAGGCAGATGGGCAGGGATGTGTAAGGAAACTTTTTTTAAATGTATACACTGATTGGGGTATGCTTGGATGTCCCCCAAAATTCATGTGTTGGAAGATTAGTTCCAAGGCTGGCGGAGTTGGGAGATAGCATGGAATTTTTGGAAGATAGGGCCTCATGGGATGTCAGTTGGTCAGTGGAAGACATGCCCTCCAAAGGTATTAGGGCCTTTCTTGTGGGGCAATCTTTAGTTCTAAGGATTTGATAAAAGCCTGAGATTGGGAAGGCAACATGGGGTAGCAGGTTAAGCCTCTGATTGTATGCTGGCTTCCCACATGGGCACCCACTCAAATCCCAGATACTCATTTCTCATCCACTTTCTTCCTGGGAAGGCAGCAAAGGATGGCCCAAATCCTTGGACCCTTTCACCTACATGGAAGACCCAGAAGAAGCTTCTGTCTCCTGGGTTTGGTCTGGCCCTGGCTTGGCTGTTGCAGCCATTTGGAGAGTGAATCAGTGGATGGAAGATCTGTCTTACCTTCTCTGTCTCTGTGCCTTTCAAATAAAAATAAAATTTAAAAATTAAAAGAAATAAAAAGCCTGAGACTGGCTGCAGGCAGTCTCTGGCTTCCTGCATCAGGATGTGATCATTTATCCCAGGGACTCTGCCCCTGCCACCTGCTAAGATGTGATACAGCTGAGAGGGGTCTCCCTGAGAGCATAGCTGACAGTAGGCATCGTGTCCTGGGACAGCCAAGACCTTGAGTTAGATTAACTTCTTTGCTTCCTAAGTAGCTTATCTCAGGTATTTTGTTAAATAAGGAAAAGTTGGCCAACATGAGACTCATTTGAATTCTTTATTTCAATGAGCATGTGCTACTTTTAAATTATAAGCAGCGATTAAAATTCTGCCCTTGATTAAAGTCAATATTTGATTACACCGTGGGAAAAACTAACTAATGTTGTTATGGTAATAGAGAAAAAAGTTGTTGTGATGCTTTGTTACATGGATGAATTCTTCTAGTTTTGAGATTTTTCTTATTTTATAGCCATATCTTTATTGTATTTTCTTACTTTCTGATATTGTGGCTATTGTATTTTTTATGGTAATTAAGTTAGACCTAGAATTTTTTTCTTCAACTATGTCACTGCATTGACTTTTGTTCCTTGCTTTTGTATTTCAATTGATTCCTGAGATACCAGGAAGGTTGTTTGGCACTGAAAATAATCAAATGTTGAGCGTGAGGTGGCAGTCACAACATAATCCCAAATTTGATTTCCCATATGGGTCTCTGAAAGAAGTGCCTGCATATTTACATTTTTTTTGTGCTCTCTTCTTGCATGTGGGCTGTGTCTTTAACCAGCTACTACAAAGAAGCGCCCTGGTTCGTTTCTAGAAGGGTTTATTCCTACTGTCTGCAAGGTACTTATAAGTCTGATTATGCAGAGAGGTGATGATTTAATAGAAATTATTGCCCTGTTTATATTGTCACATGGTCATTTTAGTTGTACAAATGAAGCAAGAAGCCATTAGGGCAATAAACTAACCCAAATATTAACAGTAAGGCACTTTGTACTGGGGACAAGCATAGCACAGAACCTTCACCCTTAAGGACTTGAATTTGGTCAGTGATGAGACACAGAAGAAAAGGTTGCCAGTTACACAAAGTAGTCCATCACATGCAGCACCCACTATAAAATTACCACTTATCGCTCTGCCTGCATGTCCATAAGATGAACGATTCTCCTCAGAGTATCATTCACACGTTTGAGCACCTGCCATACCTGGTATACAGCAGAGACCCAATAGACCCACGGTCACACTGTTTGCCTCACAGAGATTTGGAAATTGTTGACCCCCAAATAAAGAGCCAATACAGAAATCTGCCTTTTCTGTTCTCTTGGAAGTTCCAACTGTTAGTGACACTAGTTGGCTGTAGCCAAACAAGGACTGTCTGCTTTAGATGAGAGGGGTGCATAGAATTAGCTTGTAGAAGAGTGTGATTTCATTGTATTCAAGTTTCTATGAAAAATGGAAAAGATCAAGATTACTATGTGCTTGCAAAACTTGGAGAGAATAAATGCTAATATTCAGCTGGCATAAGAGTAAGAAATATTTCTTTGTCGGCTTATAAAAAGCCATTGCCCAAGTCCAGTGTGTTGCCCCATTGCCCTGGACCATGTCTATTCACACAGCCTTATAATCCTCATGATGCTGATGCAGTATTGTAGCCAGGAGTTGTCTAACTGAAGGCTGAGGGTTGAAGGTCAATTGTTAAATATTTTGAATATAACCCTTGGATGAAAGATGTTGCTCTGTAGATAATAATTCTATTATATGTTGCAATCTGCAAACACAAGGGGCTATGAAAGAAAATGAGATAAAGAGACCAGTGTGAAAGCAGCTGTAACTTTCTGAACATTTTCACGGTACCTACTTGTTCCATGCAGAGATGTGAAATGAAGGTTCCTAAAGTATCTTAGTGTTTAATTGAATTGCGTAAGTACCACAGGAGCTCAGTGGAGGGAAATATCAGGGCTAGCTTTGAAGTGAGGGAAAGGATTCTTATTATTATTTTAAAGATTTGGTTTTTTTAAATGGAAAGTCAGATTTACAGAGAGGAGAGACACAGGGGAAAGATCTTCTATCTGCTGACCCACTCCCCAAGTGGCTATAATGGCCAGAACTGAGCTGATCCGAAGCCAGCAGCTAGGAGCTTCTTCTAGGTCTCCCACATGGGTGTAGGGTCCCAAGACCTTGGGCCTTCCTCCACTGCTTTCCCAGGCTACAAGCAGGGAGCTGGATGGGAAGGGGGGCAGCTGCGATGTGAACCAGGACCCACATAGGATCCTGATGCATGCAAAATGAGGACTTTAACCCTTAGGCTACCACACTGGGCCCAGGAAGGAGTTATTTTTAAACTTTATTATATTGTTGTTAGCTCTGAGCATTTCATAGATTATCTCGTTTTAATCTTCACAAAACCCTTGGGGTTATCACCATTTTATAAATGAAAAAAAAATTTTAAAAACCAACCTGGGTTCAGCTAAGTTAAGGACTTGTCTAACTTGGTACATAGAGCAGGAATAAAGTCTCACAAAAAAAGCTGGGCTTTGAGCTTGAGGTTAGAAAAAGAAAAAGGCTGAGAGGAGAACTCTGGGTAGAAGGATGGCCTGGGCCGTGGCACACAGTGTTTGCTGAAGGTATTGGGGGTTGTTTAGTTGTTTGCATCAAGGAGCTAATTCAAGGGATATTTACTTGCTCATCCCACTGAATTAAGTCTGACTATGTGGCTTGCTGTGGTCGATGGAATATCAGCACAACTGTTAGCAAGGATTCAGAATGTGTGTACGAAGACTTGGTCTGCTGGCTCGTGCCAGGGCCTCAGAAAAAGCCTGGGCTGGCTGGCCATCTGGTCCAAAGGAGGGACATGTGGAACAGACTTGTACCAAATGGTCACCTCAGTTTACCAAAGGCCCAGTCTGTACAGGGGCAGTGGTAAACTGTGCAAGAGTAGGATTAGAATTGCCCTCGGCTGCTGAAAGGTTTTTCTTATTTCAACTATCTGTTGTTGGGTGAGATTAGCCTCAGGTCACTGCAAGTGAATTATGTTGCACCAAATGTTGTAAGTGCTGATGTATTACCCTAGGATATGATGGGATGATGTCAGGATGAAGATGAAGGTGGAAACTGTGGACAGCTAGCATTAGATCTGATTTACCAGTTCTGGTCAGTAAAAATCCCAGGGCATACACCCTATGGCCCTGATGGCAGGTGGGCCTGGGGTGTTGAGTTCAAGGTTTCCTGAGAAGAGCTCCTGATAAAGTAATCTGACCTCACCGAAGTCCAGAGCTCAACTGCACACCATATTCTGATCCCCCACACAGCAAATTCCAGTTGGAATAAAGGGTAATCTGCCTGAAAAAGTCTGGGATTTTCATTATGTTTGGAGTAGGAACATATGCAAAGAAGAGCTTGGTGGAGTTGGACCTAGGAGAAGCTGTTTTCTGAGAGTAAAAGCAAAGAAAAAATTGTAACTTAATACTAATAAGGAATCTAACTAAAATTTTAAATTGAATATGTTAGGGATTCTCTATAAAGGAACAGAGATAAGAGTAAGAGCAGATTTCTTACTGGAATAGTAAAAATTAAATACAGTGGACTAGCAATGTAAACTACTAATTAGTAAGGATTCTTTGATAAGTAGGAATATATTTTTAAAATGAAACATAAATAAAGACCTTTTTCAGATTACTAAGACTTGAAAGAACTCATCAGCAGTAGGTCCAAACTAGGAATGTTAAAGGAAGTCCTTTAATTGGAAGAAAAATGAAAACATATGGAAGTCTGGATCTTCACAAAAGAATACAGAGTTCTAGAAATGGTAACTGTGTGACTTAATACAGATTTTTTTCTTATTTAAATGTCTTTCAAAGGTAATCAAACATTTAAAGTAAAAATAGGAGAAATGTTCTGTGCAATTTATAATACATAAATGTATGCCAACACTTGTAAAAGTTCAGAATAAGAAAATGGAATAATACTATTGTAAGGTTCTTATGTTATCAGCAAGCAGTGTAATATCACATCGGAATGGACTGTGATATTAGGATATGTGTTAGAGACTCCAAAAGCAACCCATCATATGGTAACAAGCCACAGAGAAGTATAGCTAATT